AGAAATCAAAATGGCAGGTGGAGCTGGCTGGGAGAAGAAGAGCAATTTTTCCAGTCACTTCCATTTGTTCCAGTATCACTCAGACCCAGGCCCCGTTTGATGAGAGATTGCAATTTCACTTGCAGCAACACTAGATGAAAAAGGCCAGGTAGCAGATCAGATTGTAAACTGATGTAATTAAACAGGCAACATTAATTCCCAGCACCTGAGACACGAGCCCTCCGTGCAGTGTCAGTAAGACCCATTTCAATAATTTTGGCAAAGCAAACTGTAAGAACAATGGGTGGAGGACGGAGGAGGCTCTTCACTCTTCTGGTAGATCAGAAACTTGTGGCAATTATCAGTCAACAGTTCCAGCTGCCTGGTAAACTGTTCAGACTAAAGCAAACACATCACGGCTCTGAGGATGGAAATAGAAGAGCCAGAATTATTTGGAAGTTTAACTATTGCCCCCATCTCCAGATATAAGGAGCTAAACAGTGCAGACCCCAATGCATCCAGATTCTGACAAACTTGTGTGATGCTCCTTGTGCAGAAATTCAGGTGTGTTTCCAGGATGCTCAGGGTTCAGGTGTGACATTTATAAAGCATTAAGCATTTCCTCCCAACAGCAGACAAAATCCACATTACCTTGGGCAACCCATGTTCCCATTAAAAAACGGGCTGCTCTGAGCCTTGTCAGAGGAGCAAGAGATGTCCTCATCTTTGTGGAGCATGTTTGGGTAATTATAGAATCATAGAATCATAGACTGGTTTGGGTTGGAAGGGACATTAAGGACCATCCAGTTCCCACCCCCCTGCCGTCAGCAGGGACACCTTCCACTAGACCAGGTTGCTCAAAGCCTCATCCAACCTGGCCTTCAACACTTCCAGGGAGGAGCAGCCACAGCTTCTCTGCCCAACCTGGGCCAGTGTCTCACCACCCTCACACCAAAGAATTTCTTCCTCACATCTCATCTAAATCCACTCTTGTCCAGTTTACAACCATTGCCCCTTGTGCTATCAAGCTGTTCTGACAACCAGATCATGTTTGATATCATCTGAGCAGACTCGATAGAGATGTCAAAAGGGAGAAGATAGCAGAAGTCTGCTTCGCAGTTTAATTGGCTTACACCTTGGTATATCTTGTTTTAAAAGTAAGGCCTTCAAAGTGCGATCTGGACAAGCCAGTTGTGTGGGGCTTTACCCTGGGCGGTCTCACAGCTTTCTCAGCCACAAAACCAGCCCAGCTCTGAATACAGGCTGTGTATATGGTTGGATTTATGGAGCATTCATTATTTTAATAGCACTTATTGACTTTGGGTCGAATATCTTTTTCCAACATTTTTTTACTTAAGGAAAGAGCCCGTATGTCACAATCTCATGCCTCATCTAATTGGATAAGTGTTTCCTTTGTCCTTGAAACCAAAAAGTAGACCGCGTATCCAGGAGCTACAGAATGAAAAAGCATCTGCCTTTGGTATTTGGCATGCCTCAATTAAAAAACCCGCTGCCTGGGCTATCATTTTTTTTTTTTTTTAAATTCTGACCAGAGCACTTCTGTTCAGATTCAAGCAGACAGTTCTGAAGGTCGAGCTAAGGAGATTTTAAAAAAAAAAAAATAAATCCTTTGGAACAATATATAGAACATTAATGTTTAATATACAACAGAAAAGAGGCCCAGCTTCAGCAAAGCCAAGTTTGGAGTCGTGCTGGAAGCACGGGAACGGCTCGTGTGCTCGCTCCTCTCTGAGAAGCGTTTCTGTAAGCTCCAGCCGGAGCGGACCTCACGGCCGCTCTCGAGACGTGACTCCCCTCCCTCCCAGTCCCACAAATCTAGCTCTCAATATGCACAAAACACTTCCATCTTTAAAAAATAATTGAAAAGGTGCACCCTGAAGTTCACTGGATCGATCCCTCTGAATTATTTTATTTAGAAGACACTTCATTGTGTCAAAGATTTAATGGAGAGGTTATGATGCCCAGCCTTCAGAATGTCGATGCATTAAAACGGAGTGTGGCAGGGAATGTTAAAATCCCCGGTAGCGAACGTCCAAGGGAAACTGCCAGATTGATGAAATATGAAAATTATTGTATAGAGTTTAGATAAGACAGAGGCTGCTGGGGAAAAGCAGGATAGGGGCCAGAATCCTTCTGCATGTGTCTCACAAGTAGTGGGATGAAATTTAGCAGCCTCACTCTGGCCTCTCTCGCCTTTTCCCTCACGTCCCTTCGCTTCTCCGGCTGTGTCTTTTTGAAATGTGTGTATTTTAACGTGAGCAGCATTTCCCGGCAGACTTGTTTAAATACCTTTCCCTTGTTATTTATTGCCGATTAAACAACATATCTTCTGCACGTACCTTCCTTGGACAGCAGATCTTTGCTATCAAATGCAGACCTCAGCAGGTCTTAGGGCCGGAGCAGTTTATTGCAATGATCTCTACGTGGGGCTGCAGCTAAGCAGGAAAAAAAAACCCTCCAGCAGCGCAGATCAGGGTTCTCTGCTTATTAAACACCATTTCTGCTCTCTGAGAATTACCCTACTTGACTACATTTTCCATTTCTTGGTGCCTGCGATAAGGTTATAATACAGAAGATGTCCAAAGGTTTTGGGTTGGTTTTTTTTTCTTTCTCTCCTTGGGGAATGTCTCTCTTTGGGCGCTGCAGGAACAATTGCGATCCACCAAAGTACTGCTAGGCTGTAAAGTTTCAAGTGAAACGGAAGGGCGGGGGAAGGAATGACAAGTCCTTTTTACTGAAATTCTCTCCCCAAATGGATTTGGCAGAGCCCGGCTCTGCTGATCTTAAAGCAAGGTTTATCATTTGTGCAGGCTGCTGCCTGAAGGGGGAAAAGATCTTTGAAGTTGGTGAATGATGGAAGGGTCTCCCCCCCCCTCCTCTCCCTCACACACATTTTTTTAAGGGTGGAGACTGGGAGATGCTCAACTGCCCTGAGTCAGGAAATTACATGACAAATTAAACAATTATGTGTTTTAGCGCTGAGCACCTATTTAGACATTTAGCGTCGAACGTGCAGTTAGCACGAATTCTGACGGCGTTTAGACTTTCCCCGTCACCTGCAATTCTACGCTGCCTTATTTTGCTGCATGTCAAGAGCTCCCCTGGTCCAGTACGTCCACCTTGAAGAGATTTCTTTATCATTTAACTTTATTACAGAAGGCACTGCCTGGACACTGTTGGAGTGACAAGGACTATTTCCTTAATTACTGTACATTGATAATAGCATTTACTCTGGCAGCTCCAGTGCTATTCAATCAAGCAAGGTTCAATACAAAAAAGCTGATTTGCCAAAAAAGAGATTAGCATAAGTGCCTACAGTCACATTCTATTTTTGAAGGTAAAGCTACTGTGTCTGTGAGCTTTCTTGTGGGAACTTTATAAAGAGAGATTAATCTAGTTTATCTCCTTCAAAAGATATTTGGGGAAATGGCAGCGAGTCACTGTTTAGGCTCTTTTGGAACTAATTTTCTATAAACACGTAAAATAAAGAACTGCACAGAAAGCGCTAATCAGCAGCAGGAAGGTATATTTTTTTTCTTTTAGGTGGACATAGACATTTGTTGTGAAAACTCCGTGTTCCCCACGTTGCTATATGCTGTTCTTTGTCATTTAATCAAGTGGTGACTGGAGCTGTTGCACTTTAAAATTAAATGCTATTATTTATGGTAGAACTTGTTCTAGTTAAAAATGCAGACCTCAGCACTGCGTACGTTTGTAAGCAGAAGGTTAAGCAGGACATTTTAAATGGTAAAGCAAAGGGCTTAATCAAGGCTGAAGAGCAAAATGCAGTGGGATAACAGATACAGTAAATAGGCATTAATCACCATACAGGCTTAATCCAGGTATTAGGCAGTCTCGGGGTAATACGAAGACTCGCTTACATAAGGACTCATTCTACCGACCCTCAAGTAAGCGAATAACTTTATTCTTGGGAGAAATTTCACCAACGTTAAAGGCCCTTGCAATATCAGGCCTACATTATGTCTTTGTAAAATGATCTTTACACGATTGTTTTGCCTGAAGGGGATTTCTCAGTTAGGAGGCACGTGGGGGTGCGGTTCAAGAAAGGAAAAAATTGAATTGCCAGAGCATAAGGAGACACTTTTCCATGTTTGTTTGTTGGGTTTTTTTTTCCTTCCCCTTGACACTGTCTGTTACTGTGACATCAAAATCCGAGCTAAGTACTTCTTGCCAAAGATGGACCAGATAAAATCACGAAGCCAGTATCATCTCATGGGAGACAGCTCACTGTCTTAGTGACAAATTTAGTGACTACAAATCCAGGCTCAGAACATAGTCCTTCCCTAGTCATAATCCAGCTCTTGCACACTGGATTGGCATTTAACTACTGATGAACTAAAATTTCAGTTTCAAGAAGATAATAGCACATCCATAGGTACAAAATTCACTACACAAAAGTTCTTTTATTAGACGCTTAGAAAAAGTGCTTCAAAGTGTAACTTACCAGCAGAAATGCCCAATCTTTATAGGAAGAGACATGTCATATGTACTGGCACACCAGCACACAAACCCAGTCTCCAGCCCAGGAGCAGGTCCAGAGGAGAGCCAGGAAGATGATCAGAGGGCTGGAGCACCTCTCTGCTGAAGAAAGGTTGAGCGAGTTGGGCTTGTTGAGCTTGGAGAAGAGAAGGCTCTGGGGAGACCTCATTGCAGCCTTCCAGTACTTGAAGGAAGAGCGACTTTTGACATGGGCAGATAGTGATAGGACAAGGGGAAATGGCTTTAAACTGAGAGAGGGGAGATTTCAGTTGGATATTAGGAGGAAATTTTTCACCCAGAGGGTGGTGAGGTACTGGAACAGGTTGCCCAGAGAAGCTGTGGATGCTCCATCCCTGAAGGCATTCAAGGCCAGGTTGGATGGGGCTCTGGGCAGCCTGATCTAGTGGTTGGTGACCCTGTCCACAGCAGAGGGGTTGGAACTGGGTGAGCTTTAAGGTCCCTTCCAACCCAAACCAGTCTATGATTCTATGATCCTGGTCAAGCTTGGCTTACCTAGCCCTGAAACAGAATGGACAGACTGACAGTAAGCAGGACACGACCTAACCTGAGGAAAGGAGGAGGAGATGGAAGTGGGGAATGGGGTAGATGGTCACAGTTTATCTATTCAAGGAATAGTAAGATGAAAAAAAAAAATCCACAAACCTTTAATTGTGAATGTAGGAGAGGGACGGTGATGTAACTGTTCCCAGGGAACACTATTCTTATTTTGTAGAGGGAGGTGAGCCAAGATACTTAAGCTCTGGAGAACCTTTAACACAGGAAGCTATTTATCATAACAAGCTTGGTTGATACTGCTCCCATACTGAACCAATTAGATTAGCCTATTTCGTCATACTTCATAACTTGGGATGATAGGTTTCCAAGCATGGTACAGTGCAGTAATTGAATTTTGATCAAACACACATGGCCCATAACCCAGTATGTGAAACTTTCAGAACAGTTCACAGCTTTTAAATATCCAGTCAACATGTTGCCAAAAGTACAGGATGTACTCGATGCAAGTGGGAGAGGAGGGGGGGAGCACGAGTCCACGCCATAACTTGGTACAGCTGTAAAACAAACATTTTTTTGTTCCGATTCTGTTCCTACTTTAGCAAAGGAGCTGGGAGGAAGACAGTGAATGTCAAGTAAGTCGTTTTTCTCCCCAACCCCCATATCCTACACACATTTCCCTTTTAACATTCTTAGATTACTACAACCTTTTAAATTCACTATACTGTACTTTCATACTGTATTAGACACACCAGCAATTATGTTTGTTAGCATGACACATCCATTGCTTACACTTAGTTAACCAAATAACTTAAAAGTCACACGCATCATCCTCTTAATAGGGTTAGAATCAATGGGAGCATGGAATGAAAGCCCTAAAAATTACCCCCCACCTCTGCATTCCCCAGGCTTCTGCCTCTGCCAACACAATCCACGTGGTGGGCAGTCTCGTCAGGCTCAAGGTGAACACTCAGTCACTGATCTCCTCTTACATGTTCTTGCTGTGTTTTCCCCATGGTAAATCCAAGGAACTTTGAAGACAGCTCTGTAAAGGAAACAGAATACATTAATAAATTCATTCCTACGGCTCTACTGACCAGGGGGCAAAGCACCCACCACAGAACAGGTCCACACGACGTGGAAAATGCTGTGCCAGCCTTTCTTTGAGCAAGTAAGGGTCATCCATATCAAAGCTGCTCTCTGGCCTACAGCCTGGCATGCTCAAGCGATGGAGCAGGAGATCCCCAACCTCTGCATATGGTGCTGCCAACTTCTTGCTCAGCTTTGAATGCTTTGACCTAAAAGGCAGCTGGAGGCAGCTCCAGGCATCTCAGCTACCTGAAAGGGAAGCACCAGGGCAGCCAACACCTCTGCTTTCACCAAGGTGGTGCAGAGGACAGAAAAGATGGGAATTCCTGCTACAGACCACCAAAGAGTGTGGCACTGGGTGGTTTACCCCAGCGGTGCTGGTTGCCCTCCATGGATCCTCTGCCTCTGAGCTGTCTCACACACCTGTTCTGGAGCACAGTTGGGTACGGGAAGCAGCCACAGGTTCCAAGGGGAGAAACGGTGATTTTTCAGAGGTAACAAAATGTGCCTTTTGCTGGTGGTTGGGGACAGGTATATTGTCACCACCTCGTTACAGACAGAGTGCAGAGGATGCACTGGATCTCTTCTCCCTCCCTGCCCCACACCCCACTAAGTTCCAGTGCTGCAGAGGGAAGAAAAACAAACAAACAGACAAAAAAAAGAAACAGAAAAAGAAAAATACTTTCATGTTACAACTTATCAGACTTGGACCAAGTCTCAGCTCAAACCAAGGTTAAACAGGCCTCTTCTAAGCCTCTTAAAGATAGGATTTATATAGTAATTACAGTAATGGAAAGTGATCTTTATAATTTTTATACTGCCTAAAATTCTGCTGTGTCATACGCATCTGCAGAGCCTGAGAACTGTGCTTCTCGGGGAGAGCACTGCAGTCTTGAAAGCAGCCATTCAAATATAGAATGGAGAATTATCCAAGCACGAGTATGTTTGAGATTATAATGAAGCACAAAGAGTAAGAATCAGAAAAATCTGTGGAAAAGCGAGGAGTTTGCATTTGAGATGAGCCGTATTTTTAAAACACTTTATTTTCTTGGGAGTTTATGGAACTAGATCTTCATCACACACAGCGCAAGCAGCACCGAGACTGTTCTTTTTATTCTTATATTTCCTTTCTTTTCCTTTGCTACAGTCTTAGGTCGAGAGAGTGAGCACAGTGCAAAATGCATCTTGGCCAGACAGAATCCTCACATGTCCACTTCCCAGTTTTCTCTGTTGTGCAAGGAAAAATACCGGAGCGCTAGGTCTATGCTGTATGATAAAGAACAACTTCAGAAGATGAGGAGATCTGATAGGGGGTTTGGCTCCACCTTCAGGAAGCAGAAGGCAAAGAGACAACCCGGTTTGAAGTTTCAGACATACTTTCTGTAGAAACCGAAGCCTACAACCTCCTCCTATTGACATCTACTGCTCCCTAACATGTCTTGGATTCGTACATAGAAAAGATTCCCTGATCTGATGCTGTGACATTTCTACGTACTTGATTCAGCTCTGAAGAGTCCAACTCCTCCAAGAGATACTTGAGAATTTGTGGCAGGATATCCAAAGGTAGCTGATACATGAACAGAGCTGACATATGGACAAAAGTACACGAAAAGCAGCTTTGAGGTGAAAAAAGCAGCTGTGACACATAGGATGTCACAGAGCTGTATCAAATATTATCAGCCATTGACACTGCCAGTGCTCAGGTTGCCATATAGAACGCAGTTTTCTTATAATTCACAGAGATTCGAAAGGTTCTCTGGGAACAGAACTGCATTGAGAGGAAGAAAGTGGGAAGAGTCTTCATAAAATTTCAGTCTAGCAGAACACTTAAGCATATGCCTAGTTAAGCTATTTTATTTTTTTTCTCCTCAGATCCAGGCAGAAGACGCAAAGAGAATAATCTCTTGTATTTCACCTCTCAGCAGACTCTGATCCAGGTTGAACCCAGCACACAGTAGCTGCTTAAAAAGTATGATTTAAATGAATTAAAACGATGTATTTTTTTTTTTAAAGAAGCCACATAGTGCCCATTTATAATGATGAAAATGGCAAAGCAGTTCAGGATGAGACTACACCGAGTTTAAAAGGCCGTATGATGTCTTAGTGAAAAAACAGGCAATCACACCATTAGAGGCAATGGAAATGTATGGTTGCTTGCAAAATCTTGTCTTTGGCATTTCCCCAACTGGGTGCTTAAGCACCCAACTTACTGTATTCAACATCCTTTTCTGAGGGAAACGGGTTTGCAAACTGCAGAGCAAGCAACAGGAATAGCCCTCGGTGCAGAAATGGACTAAACACCTAATGAATCTAAAAATAAGAAAAAAAAAACCCCAAAACACTGTGAAGAGATGCGAGAAGACCAAATAGACATGGCTGTGTAAGCAAACAGAACTGAATATACTCTTGAGGAACAAAGGAAACAATTCTTGATGGGGTGACAACAGATGTTCTCCAAAAAAATTCTAACGGAGCATTTCAAACACAAAGACCTTCCTGTGGAGCTGAGAAGTTTTACTGGCAGACATACAGTAATACATCTTTGGAAACGTAATAAAACCTAACGTTTAAGGTGTTATCAGGTCCTGAAAGCTGAAGTGATATCTTCATGTAGTAAGTGGTGGGTGGTGGTGGAGAGGAAAACAGTCAGGATAACAAAATACTGTCACAGAAAGTTGTCGTAGCACAGTTGTGATCTAAATCGCAGGAGGAATAACTAGTCAGAGAGTTTGTTCTAAAATATCTCTAAATCTGCTCTTTGGGAAAACGAGCTCTAAAGACAAGTGAAAGATGCACAGTTTAACCCAACTGAACAAATACAACCCGGAGTAATTCACTACCATAGTAAGCACACCTAAGTACAACCACTTTTGCACTGTGTGAGTGAATGCAAAGTGCCCAAAGCTGAATGTTTCTACCAGCTACTGCTCTATCAGATCATGGTTAAGCACATCGCAGAAAATCCTAAAATGAACTTTTTTTTTTTTTTCTTTTTTAAAAAAAGACAGGTTTATGGAGTCATTTGTGCAATGACTGAACTGCACTGGTACTTAAGGAAGATCTGGATTTAACTCCTGGCATGGATCTGCAGCATCTTCAGTGAACAGCTTTATACAGGTTTTTAAAGGCACTTCAAATTCTTTTTTTTTTTAAACTCTGGCCTTTACTTTTTATGTTCTTTATTTTTACAGATACAGAATAATACTTCTCTGTCTTGTTGGAATGTTGAAAGGATTCCTGAATATCTGCAAGGCCAGCAGATATAATTTTATCTGAGAACGAGGCAGGAGGATGACATAGTACATTGTCTAATTATTTTTATTGCTTTGCAACTGTTTTGGGGAAAACAATCCAGAGAGAAGATTATTCCAGTGCAGTCAGAGCAATCAGAACTACAGAAAGACTAGGATGGACAACTTGATTGACAGGAGAAAGCTAAAGCAGGCAGCAACACAGCAAATCATCACAGGACAGACATTTTGATAAATACTGCTGTAGCCAATTTATTATTAACACAGTGGGACAGCTTTACATCTTGCATCACACTTTTCACAGCCCTTATGGTAAGCATGCCATATCTGACACTTACAAGATGAAAACAAAGACCTTACTAACTCTTCTGGCCCTGCAGTACTATCTGCTCACTCAGTTAACCCTCTCTAAACTTTAGCTAGGCAACTAAAAAGCACATAGGAACCCAGATACGTGTGTTCAGATGGAGAAGGTAATTCCAACAGTACCCAATACAAGTTCCAACGGTTACGCCATCTGTGCCGTACTCATTTCTGAAAGGCTCTACAAAGGAGAGGGTTGCCAAAGAAGTGGAAAGTTGTTAGGACAAGATAGAGGATCAAGTGGAATATCATCTAAAGGTAAGAGAAATAAAATATATTGCTAAGGCTCAAAATATTGCTGTCTGGTCACCGGTGGCTTCATTCTGACTGCTATGACAAAGCCATGGTATCACAAACCAGAGAGCATCGGGATGAAAGAATCCCATCCCATAGCAGTTTTCATTCTGGGATTGGTTGACACACATCCTCTGCTTCTACAGAAACACTGGAATTGGGAATAACAAATCTTCCTCTCTGCTGGCTACGTGGTTTCAGGGATTAACAATCTGATGGACCTTATAACTAATCATATTTTCATTTGATTCTCACAAAATAGCTCCCGTATTCCTTTACAGATAATAACGTGCAAGGTGGCTGCTGAAATCATTAAGTCAAGCCCTCTGCTACGTGCACACAGAGATACATTTCAGAATGAAATCTTGTATGATAAGTTACCCAAGGCTATTTTTTTTATTATAACATCCATGGTATTTTCCCATTTTCACAACTATATTATCAGCTTCAGGGTTAAAAACCAAAAAAGCAGACAAGTCACAGGATGATCTTAGCCATGAGATTTTATTTGATTCAAGCATTTATTCAAGCATTCCATCCACTTCCTGTCTGGTTTTGAAAAGTATTTCGGGAAACAAAACTGACATGCACAAAGAGCATTCAGTGAAAAGAGAGACAAAAGGGAGATGCAACAAATATCAGGCAAGGAAACGAAGTTAACAGAGTGTTCTTGTCTCTTTAAAGCCACAAGTAAAACGCTTGTTAGCAAGTATCCCAAAACTATGTCTTTCTTGTGTGAAGGAAAGAATTAACGTTAAGCACAAAGTATTCTTTGTGGTTTATTCTCATTACGTGATATGTCAGGTTACTCTGATTTGGAAAAAAAACCCCTGGGATTTCTTTACAAAGCTTTCTGTGCACCAGTCTTAATGTAGGTTTAAAAGAGACTAAAAACCACAAACTGCACTTTCAAAAAATCAATTTAGGAATCTCATTTTTTGTATTTCTCTTAGAAATAACATTTGTGGAGATATTAATAACATTTTTAAAGTTTCATCTGAAAAACAAAAGAATGGTCCAAATTTTCAAAGAAAATCTCCAGTAAGATTTATATCACATGGATTTCTCACTCAGTTACTGCTGGTTTTCATTAGAAAGTGAAGGGAATGTTTAAAATTGGTCAAATAACATGAAGATTCTGTTGACATGTTTTCTGTCTCTGTGTGTACTTTCCTTTAAAGGAACATCTAAGTAAATCTTGGTTGTCCTAAAGATTTTGGTCAAAAAGCTCTGAAGGACATAGAATCTAATTCACTGAAACACAAACTGATTTAAAATAAGAACTTTTTAAGGGCTTTATTAGTATAAATAATTCAATTTTTTTACATTCTGTAGCTGTAACACACGCACCAATTTATTTTCAGAAAAAGAAGGTATGTATTTCCACTATGGATGGTTGTAAGGGAGGGGAAAAAAAAAAAAAATCAAAACAAGCAGAATGACTATTTCCCATTCTAACCTCATGGCACCCCAACATCCACCCTCCTTTTTTGTGATGTGTCATCTACAGTTCTATTTTTTGTGCATCTATATTTCTACTGTTGATCAGCACTGACCAAATTTTGCAACGTAGCTAAAATTTGTCTTTAGAGAAATAATTATTTAAATTAATAGAATTTCACAGGATATACCAGCACAAGACTTAGGGCCATCTGGATTTTAACTAACTAGAAAGAAAGGCAGTTTCTGTGATTTAGGATATTTAAGTTCATTTACAAACTGCCATACACAGTTATGAAAACAGACCCCGAGTGTAACCCCATCCCACGCCATGCTGAAACTCTTACCAATTTCAGTGGACTAAAGATCAGCATAGATACTCTGAACAACTCTTTCTCTACCTCTCTGTAACCCTCTAAATTATACTTACAGACACAAAACAACATCAGTGCAAATTGCAAAAGTCTGCACGTTTCACAAATGGCACAACTGAGCCACAGACTATGTGCTCACAGCAACAGAGCACTCGCAAGGAAACCTGGTGCCTCCGAGGTAAATCACTCACTCGATGAATTTTATCGTCTTTGTTCAATGTATGTTTAACATTCAGCTCTGATGCAGTGTAATTAATAAGACCTCAGCAATTTCAGTGGACGACTGGATCCACCTGTAAAAATAAAATGCACCTGGGCATTCGTTGACACTCGCTGCCAGGGTTACGGATAGGTCTGCATTTTCCTGAAGGTTGCGTTGGTAATCGTGAGCCGCGTGAGCCTCGCTCCGTAGTAATCTATAATGTAACTGGAGCCATCGGAAGGTCCAACGATCTACGAGAGAAAAAGAACCAAGACTTCAATACGAAGCGAAATATAGACTTTGTGCTAATGTCTCAATTACTGCTAATTTTCCCATCATAAAATTAGTCATGCTTAATTAGTCAAACAGAAACTAGATTTATTTTGAAGTTATGCTGTAGTTTAACTATTTTAGCGAGCACTGTCTCTGAAGGAACGTTTCCCTAGGGCTTCTAATCAACCAAATTACACAGCCAGGCACTGGTACTAGGTTAAGCCGATGAGGATTTGAGTCTCAAAATCAGGCTAACAAATGAGTGGGCTCCAAACCACTTTTCTTGAACAAAGGAAGGTAAGCAGGAGAGAATTAGGTTGATGACAAGTATCTTTGAAATACTGCACAGGTAAGGAATGGAGAGAAGCAGAGAAGATCATGGCTTTTTTTGTTCTGGAAATGCTGAATTGATGTAGGGTCACCAGGGAGATGAGTAAGGAGAGATGAAAGGTACTCTCAGCTGTGTCTGTAAGCGATCTGAGGCAAGATCGCTGCGATAGCATAGAAAGGAATTGGAGAATGCACATACTTTAAAAGACGTATATACAAAGGCATATACTTTAAAAATATTTTTCTATAAACCCATATAAACAATTTCTGTATCTGCAATGCATTTTACATTCATCACAGGCAATCTGTAATTCATGCTAAATGTATGCACTGTAGAACAAGACAATTTGGCAATTTCATAATGTCACAAGATGTCACCCCAGCTGGGGATTTAACCATCGTGACTCCTACAGTCACAGCTCTCAGGTGACATGGGACTTGGATTTGGAGGAGAGGCAGAAAAAGAAGCAGCAATGTTTTCTCTCCTGCACACTGCATGGACACCCCAGATGATGGGCACATGCAAATGCAGAACTTCAGGAGTCTGGGAACACCAGGACATCTCATGCAAAGTCCAAAACTCCATGTCACATAAAGAACTCACAGGATCTGACAAAGTGAATTTATGTGCTATAGCTTCCAAGCTATTCATTAAGAGTATTTACAGACTGCTAATCTAATTTTTAATTCAAACAACAAATATATTGATATTTTCTATCCATATTCTACAACTTCAATCTACAAACAGAGCTAAAATAAATGCCTTGATTTTTCAAAACACAAAGACACTTAAGGCTAAAATGCTAACAAAGAATTAGCAATCAAATCACAGCAGATTTGTAACTTGTTTCGAAAGCCCTGACTTACCTGCATTGAAATAAGTATGAAATCAATCAGGCTACCAATTCCACAAAATCCTACAGTGCAGAATTTTAACAAACCTAAAAAAGGAAAATAAAATTTAGTTGTAGCTTTAAGCCAGTCACTATGAAGTTCACAGGTTTCTGGTGGCAATCACATCCTAACTCTCCCCCCATCTCGCTAGATATAGATATAGATATACACACACACATCTAGAAACAAACCTAAAGATCTTTAATTATTAGGGAAAAAAGTAAACCACACATTCATATTTCTACATCCTGAATATGCTTCAAAAGTTTTAAATATTAACAACTTATTTTCTTTAAACAGGTAAATATTCTTAAACAAGGAATGGTAAAAGTCAATAACCAAGTTAATGGAAATTTTCCTTTCTTTGATTGAGGCACAGACAGAAAAAATCCCAACAAGAGCTACAAAATTTACTTATGAATACAAAGAGATTTTCTACCATCTCATGAGTTAAAGCACATACTGATTTGATTTTCAGAACGTGCTACTTCAGGGAACCATCCTTTGTATAGTTTTTATATTTTTGCTGAAATAGGAATTTATTTTCAATACACATATATATAAACATTTCTTTTTAACTGGTATTCAGAAATGTTGTTTTTTGTAGGAATAAATGAAAGATTAATAGAAAATATATGGGAATATCAACTAACAGATAAATGTTTCATCAGAAGTTGCCATGTAAGGCAGACTTCATTTAGAAAATGTTTTCAGAAGAAGGAGGATGTCTTAAAATTTTTATTTTTTTGTTTAATATCAGTAGTTTCTTGTACAATGAATATAACACAATGAGTACTATATATATCGTAACACTTCAGCTGAGCTAGACAAACAGCTAGGTTATTTTGAGAAGGAGATTCTCATTGTGAAGACATTTGTCTCTTTACCCAGGCACAGACAGTAGGAAGATGAATGCATATTATCTCTTGCATCTAAATCAGTTATAGGCTACGCTGGACATGGAATCATAGAATCATAGACTGGTATGGGTTGGAATGGACCTTAAAGATCATCCAGTTCCAACCCCCCTGCTGTGGACAGGGTTGCCAACCACTAGATCAGGCTGCCCAGAGCCCCATCCAACCTGGCCTTGAATGCCTCGAGGGATGGAGCATCCACAGCTTCTCTGGGCAACCTCTGCCAGTGTCGCACCCCCCTCTGGGTGAAAAATTTCCTCCTAATATCCAACCTAAATCTCCCCTCTCTCAGTTTAAAGCCATTTCCCCTTGTCCTATCACTATCTGCCCATGTCAGAAGTTGTTCTCCCACCTGTTTAGAAGCTCCCTTCAAGTACTGGAAGGCTGCAATGAGGTCTCCCCAGAGCCTTCTCTTCTCCCAGCTAAAACAACCCTCAACCTTTCTTCAGCAGAGAGGTGCTCCAGCCCTCTGATCATCTTCCTGCCTCTCCTCTGGACCTGCTCCAACAGCTCCAACATCTTTCTTGGCTCCAGGCCTGGACGCAATACTCCAGATGGGGCCTCACAAGGGCAGAGTAGAGGGGGACAATCCCCTCCCTCACCCTGTTGCCCTCCCCTCTTTTGATGAAGCCCAAGATACAGTTGGCCTTTGGAGCTGCAATCACACACTGCTGGCTCATTTCAAGCTTCTCCTCCACCAAGATTCGCAAGTCCTGAAAACACAGTTCCCTGCTAAAAAGCAAATCCTTACATGCTTGCAAGGGCCAGCACACTTGAGAGGCAAGAGAGAAGGATGTTGGTAACACCAGAGCATCCCAGAGCACCTCTTCCAAACAGCCACAATACCTGCCAGTAAAACCACACAGCCCTTTTTCCAAAGAGCAAGCACTGGTCTCAGCCAAACACCTGAAGGTCTCCTGACCTCCGTTCCCTCCTTTGTGCTCCCCCTCTCTCAGAAGCAGCAAGCTGTCCCACATACCACCTCCTCTCCCCCATGCCCTCTTCATGAGGGAGGGGAGCGGGGGAGTAACTGCATGCACGCTGCAGGAAGAGCATTCCACTGGCTCCCGTAGCTGACAAGATGAAACTAGCCTGATTTATCAACTCCAAGGAGACAGCTTATCATCTCTCCATGGAACAACCCAGTAGTCAGAGAGAACAGGGAAAAAGACCTAACGACCAAGAAGATGAAAGAGTGGGAGCAGAATGGTCTTTCAAGAAAAGCCTACGTGAGTATTACAACGAAAGTGGTGCCACTTAAACATGCAAAAACCCAAACACATCATGGTTGACAACAGCTTGTTCCCAGTGGCCAACACAGGAGGATGGCAGCAGCCAGGCACAGTTAGCCTGGGAACTGGTACTGGCAGTGGCGTAACAAAACATAAAGGAAACAGCCAGCTAAAGAAATGCGAGCTTTAGGAATCACAGAATCACAGAATCTGAGGGATTGGAAGGGACCTCGAAAGATCATCCAGTCCAATCCCCCTGCCGGAGCAGGAACCTAAATGAGATCATGGTTAAGACAATTAAATAATGTCAAACTCTGGTGAACAGTTTATTTTGTTATTACCTGCAGTGGTTATTTAAGATACTTAGTTGTGATGCTCCTTACACCATCTTCTCTATTTGCTCTGTTCCTGAACCTCACCTGCAGTTGGCATTTTAGGAACCCAGCAGTTCTCTTACCATTGCTAGTTCCAGCAGCAGCTCCAGTTTACTTGAGGAACTGGTTGCTCCATTATGTTACTGGATGTGGAAGAATTGTTTCTGAACCTGGTATATGTTTCTGGAGTGCAGGGTAAAGTTGATTTTTTTTTTCTTCCTCCTCACTTCCCTCCCCACAAGCAGATCACACTGAGAAAATAAACTGCTCTAAAGCACGGAGGGAAAAAATAGTGCTCTTACAGAGTAATAACTTATGGTTTAGTTCACAGTGTGTGGGAGAGGAAGAGGTTGTATTTGTGTGCTCTTTAAGCAAAAAAGAAGGAAAAAAGAAATAAACCAAAGAGCATTTACAGTCTTCATTACACTTCCACAAAACATTTCAATGCTATTAACCTCTCTTAACCATTTTTTGCCAAGGTATGGATGACCTAAAAAATCCTCAATCCACCACTGTCAAGGAATCCAATGTACTGATTTTTAATTCTTTTTTTCTTTTCTACTCTTACCTATTTGCTTTTGTCTTCTTTACCTTTCAAAAGCTTGAAAACTTGGCTTTGGAAGAGTGTAATTTTAAGTCTTTTAACTTTGGTTACTGGCTACAGTATATTCCAGTAGGGTTAACAAGCGTGAGCCATAAAGAACTTCTATATAAGAATGTAGGATTTGTAAATCTATTACAACAATATATTACAAAATAATTACTGGAAATTATTCTTCCAAATCCAATGGCATAAGAAAAATGTATACCTTATTAACTGCTTCCAAAAATGTATCTTTTTGTGAAATTGATGGACAAAGCTAAGTGCAAATTATAGAAACTCAGGGGGAAAAAAAGACACAAATATATGATTATGGAGAAGGACAGATAAAGTTACTAAAAAAACCAAAGGTTTGCATTTAATGGGCAGAAACTCAAAATTCCTAGCTGAAGTGACAGTAACATGTATAGCTTTTTCCAATTCATTGCTCCATGCTATTTAGACTTAAATTTACTCCATTTGTCCAGTTCAGAAACAAGGCCAGTAAAAGTAGTTCTAACATACTAAGGTAATTCCATTATTTAAAAGCCAGTGGCACTGTCACCCTGGGAATCAAGTCCTAAAAACACTAACCAGAGGTAGGTCTTATTAAAGGTCCCAGTTTCTGCAGAATTGTTATTATGAGCTCTCTTGAAAGTACATTTGCCAGAATAAATTCCATATCCCAAAACACCAGGTTTACTGTAAAGTTTGTCCACTATTTTCCTGGTAAAATCAAGCATCATTTAAGTAGCTGGCATGAGTCAAAACCATTTCTGTTTCAGTGCCTCACAAAGAATGCTGTGGTAAACATCAATGCAAAGCAAATGTAAAGCAAAACTATGAATAGCAACAATCATATTTGCTTATTAGGATTTTATCTGTTGGACAACTCTACATCCACTTGTCACCACTCACTCCAACAGCATAGCAGGCTGAGGATAATGCAGGATTTTATCTTATTTGAGAATAAAGTGAAGATTCTAGTAGTAAATACCAAAACTATAACTGTGAGCCTTCATTACTCAAAATATAAGTATACACATACAACTCAGTCTTAACAATAAGCTTTACCTCACAGAAAAAACAAACAAACAAAAAAACCCTATAAACTTACCCAATGCAGGATAGCCAAGATAAAATCTATCTGCTCCCAACCACCCAAGAAATAAGGACAGAGCCACTGCCACTTTGTAGGAGTATCCATTCCTGCCAAAAGAAACAAGTAATGTAGACAATGACTGCAAAAAATATTCCCTCATACATTTGAGAATTAAAGTAGTGACTCATTTGCCTGCTGCTTCAGTTAAAAAAAAACAAAAAAAAAGCAACAGACTTGTTATTTATCTTCAATTAACGGACACAGAATTTATAATGTTAAGCTTTCAGATTGGGTAGGCATCCTCTATAAAGCAACCTCAGCTGGTGCAACTCAAGTATACTCTTGTAGAATACAGATTATTCTGAAACTAAATCATGATTTCTTGTCAAGACAGACACAATTCAGTTGCTGATTCCCAGTTTTACAGAGCACTTCCTAACAGTTCAGCCCTCCTGAGACAACATTAGAAAGCTAAAAGGTGTATGGATACTGTCTGTAGGCATTAGTCTCACATGCAGGCAAATCGAGAGGAACAGGACAGACAGGTGAGATGTCAGCAGAGACAGTAATTGCAATGAGATCTGAAGGAGAAATGAACCATGGCCATGGGGTGAAGAAGCTGCAGGAAGGATTCAACAAAAAGGGTAAGTCATGTATCCATTTACTACACTCTAAAGGCACAAACTCCCAAATGAAAAGAACTGTTGACAGTACAAAGATAGTAGAGAGGTGCCCTCAAGTTAAGCATCCCTTGGTTAGTCATAAAAAATATACAGATACAACAGGCTTTTTGAGATTTATACTAATTGGCACCATTTTTGTCAACAGCTGGAGGAACCATAACTTTCAGACACTGCTTGTGTGAACTTTACACTAATAAGCAAGCTAGAAACATACAGCTATCCATACTAAAACTTGCTGCCTTGTCAAACAGATAGCTTCTGAAAAGAAAAGCAAACCCAAATGTAATTAGAACTTAAAAAATATTCAATAATTCACTGTTTTGATATGTGTACTACTACGTGCCAGCAATTACTTAATGAGCCCAAATTAAATTCTTGGTTGACAGTTGAATAAAACATAAGAGTTTCACAAAGGCAGTAGCTAAGAAAGGTCCAAGCACCTTCATTAAGCAATTTCAATGCCAAATAAAGATCCACCTTTTTGCTTATTGTATAGATTTACTGACTTTAAAACTTAATGGCAATATTAAGAGATTAAATCATGAGTCTTACCTCAGTATTTGTTACTTAGCACTTATTACCAACACAGAACATACTGGGTGTTCCTGGACCTAATGTAATGTAAATTATCATCTTTAGAACTGTCTTGTTTCCACTGTAAAGAACATTAATGTTTTTATTTAAAAGCTGAGGTAAACTGTTGGAAATTGTTTAACAACTACAGAGTGTCAACAAGCCTCCAAGGACACTAAAGCATAAAAAGAGCTCTTACATAAAAGGTGGGAACACACAGTTTAATTTGAGATGCTCCTGATCAAAACCAGTAATAAACTGACCACTTGCCTACGCATTGAGATGCTTTTAAAAGCAGAACAGTCTGCAACCCAGTCAGCATCAAACTGATGGGCAGAAGAAATCCAGTATGAAGTGGAAGGACCCACTCTTCTATTTCCTTTGCCTTACTCACTCTTCCAGATAAACATATGCACTGAAAACTAAACCAACAAGTAGGAAAATACATCCCAGGCACCTGAAGGAATTTCTACAATTGGGTAAAAGATGCAATTTCTTTTTCTTTCTGAATTTTTCTTGCTTCTCAGCCTCATCCAATCTTTTATTTTTTTCTGCATACATTTCTTCCAGCTGCCAGATTAAAACCTTTTTCTTCCAGCACTCCCACACCAGTTGATAACCTGCAGGTACTGCTGTAGGTCACATAGGAATCCTGTGCTCTTCCAGGGTCTCTTAGCACCGCTCAAAGACCTGTCCACGCTGAACTTCATGAATTCCACAGGCTGCCAGTGGATGGACTCCCTGCCTGGAATGGCAATACCTAGAGCAATGGACATTTCAAGTCTGCAGAATCACAACCTGCACATATTAAACAAGATACATGATAGAACACCAATTTGGGGAATTCCAGAATTTGGCAAAAAAATCTACCTCCAAACCAGAAAATTAAAACCAAACCAAAGCAAACCTGACTCCCAGTACTTCTTTGCTGGAGCAACCTCATTAGCACTCACAAACTTTTCCTAGGAGCTACTTGAATACATCCACTTATACAAACACACGACATCTCCTGGTCTTGCTCTAAAATAACTGGATCCCAGAACTGTTATCTGGACTGTTGTTAAATAGAGTCTCGGCTAAGGATGACTTGCCGATTTGCTCCTTCCAAAAGCTAGGGATGGAGATTAACCTGCTGTCCCCGTGCTAGGACAATCCTGCTATGGAAAGATGCCTTCTCAAACCAGTTTTCTGGTGAAATGATGTGCAGTTATTTCTGCCAAAAGACAGTTACAGTTTCCATCAAAACTCTGGTAAGATGCTGGAAAATCTCCATAAAGCAGTAGAAAGGGCAGGCTTACTGTTGTAATATCAAGCTGGAGATTCTTGCTTAAAATAATGTTTCTAACACTTGGGTATCATTCAAAATGCCTTATAAAAGGCTCCTCTTCCCCTTCTGCCATACTAGCAGTCACGGGACTGCAAAAGCCACAGCAAGGTCTTTTGGTAGTGTAACCATTCATTATTTAATCATAAATGTCACAATCAAGTAATAGATATCATAAGAAGGATGACATTTTTCTGCCTACATAGATTTGGGTTTTTAATTAATAAATGTAAAGAAAAACTACATTTAAAAAATGGGCTCCAAACACAAGAATTACCATCTACTCCAAAGAGGAAGCAGTTTGATTAAACTAGTATAGCTTATCTTATTCTCAAGTCCCCATCACAGATGGGACTGAAACGCAATTGTTTCTGGACAAAAATGTGACTGAAGTCTAGTTTGCTAGCATTTAAATTTGATTAGATGTAATAATATGTTTTCTTCAATTTGCTGAGCTTTGACTGCTGAGAAGACTAAATACAGAGAAAATATTTATGAAACTAAGAGGCAGAGCTGTACTTCTAAGCTAGGCAAATTATTGAGCAGTAAGTATCACATCAGAGTTATTTGCCCGCTAGTGTGATAAGGAATAACCAGCAAATATTACTGGAGTTTTAATTTCCAAAGATTCCAGTAGGACAAAAGCAAAAGGCTCCTGCATGAATCCCACAAAAAGGAGAAACAAATGGTACTGACAGGTGTTCGCTGATCATTAGCATTGGCCAATTGGAACATTTATTGGTATCCAGAGCTCTCCCTTGCTCACCACATGCTTTAGAAAAACCAGGTCCATCATTTTCACGTTTCAAAAACAAGCTCTTTAAAAGACACAGAGGACTTGATTAAATACAAAGGTTGTTTCAAAAGAGAACAGTTCCTCCAAAAGAGATTTTTTTTGAGGAACTGGAAAGAGACTTAAACTCCCCCAATATTCATACATACTACAACTTAAGCTGCAGCTACAGGCACACTTGAAACTGGCACGAGCCAGTACTGCCACTGAACAGAGCAGCCCAGTCCAAGCCCTCCTTTCTCCACTCTCTTGTCCTTGAGTTGCCCTCATCCTTGTGCTGGCACAAGCACTCGAAGCGACTGTCCTGTGACTGAAATCGGGGAACTGATCCAAGTTAGTTCAAACCCAGATCAGTTCTCTGATTCAGTTTACAGCGGGGTGTGTCAGGGAAAGGGATGGAGAGCTGTCCCCAGACAGCTCCTCTCAGCAGCTGTGCGGATTTTAAGCATATGTGACATCTAGCCTTAGCATTTGGGTCAAATTTTTGCCAGGGTAAAGTACTAAGTAAAGCAAAGGTAAAATACTATGGTAAAGCAAAGACACAAACATAACTAAACAAAGACAAATGTCTCCATGGCTGAGACAGATTTACTTATAAACATGCATGTTGTATCCCTATACTTCTGATAAGTGTTTTATTAGAGGATTAGGTACGAGGGAACATTTGCACAATCCTACCTTAATTCTCTTCTTCCTTCCATCAACACATCATACTATTTTAGAAAATTTTCAATGTGAAAATAAAGACAAATTATTAAAAAAACCCCAGTGTACTTACACATTGCGACATGCAATAGGCTTGTAAAATCCAACTTCATGTCCCGTAAAGACTTTTTCTATGCCAAGGTGATCTTTGCAAGTAATATTTGGTGCTGGCAGGCATTGAACTGAGGACAAAAAAACCCTTTAAATTAAGCAGTAACAGACTGGGTACTGTAGTGTTTATCTGACAAGATGCAAGTGAAATACAGAAATGAAGTTATACTGTGCAACAGTCTTGATACACAGCACAGTACCTACAGACATATTACTTTTAAAAAAAATATATATTTTTAAGCCAGTCTTACGACTAACTTGTCTTTTTGCATAATCCATATTAAGCAAAATATACAAACCTAATTGCTGCCCTAATTCTGTTGTAATTTCCATTTTGGCTCCGTTATGAGTCAATGGCAAATGTGAACCTGACACATAGAAAACATTTTCATCATGAGAACAGTCAAATATCAGAACAAGTTGCCCAGAAAGGTGCTGCCATCACCATCCTTGGAGGTTTTCGAGATCTGACTGCACAAAGCCCTCAGCAACCTGGTTTGACTTCAGTGCCAATGCTGCTTTCAGCAGGAGGTCTCCTTCAACCCACATTTTTCTATTATTCTAAGCTAAGGCTTGACTCTTAAGAGAACCAAAGTGGAAATCACAGCAGAAAGTGACATCTGCTAAAAGTCTGCAATGTATTACCAGAATATTAGTCACTCTCCAACGCTGAAGTCTGCTGTTGTAAAGGGAAAAATCCCAGTCCTTTAACCACTTTCGATCAGTTTTCAGTACTTGTGAGTCCTGTTGGTTGGTTCCAACAAAACAGCAAGCCAAGCTCAACATTTCTTTCTAGATTTTCCAACAATATCTACAGGCAAGGAAACTAGGTCCATCATTTTCACATTTCAGAAACAAGCTCTAAAAAGACACTTGGATTTGGATTTTTTTCTTTAAATAGCCATCCATATTGCACAGCGAACAAAAAAAACCCCAAAAAAACAACAACAAAAAATTTCAGGCCATCAGTACCAGTTAACAGCCAAAATATATGAGCTATGTCTGGATTTAACTGCTATGAATCCTACATGGATGCTACTCATCAATGTGCCTAATCAAAGACAATTACAAAAAACTACACTTTCTTGTAAAAAAGAAGCAAAGAAAGCAGTGCTTTCTTTTATTTAGAAGAAACCCACAGCAGTTTAAATATATTGATATAGGAAAGGCCACAATTTTCCTATCAATGTCATGCTAGTAAGATCTGAAATCTGCTACTCAATGAGACTACTTGGATGCTTTGCACTAAACCCCTCTTTATTTGGGTGATGGATGTCAGAAGGATGTTCAGAAACAGTAGTGCTTCAAGCATGATCCAGAAGATTAACTTTTTATTACTTATAGATAATACTGAAACTGAAAGCAACTCAAAAACTGAGTTGTGTAAAATACTCTCTACAGACACAGAAAACAACATTAATTAATTTAGCAACCACCCCCACTCTGAAGCTTATCTCCTGGTCGAATGTATAGTGTATTAAATAAAATCACATGGTAGTTCGTTAGACAATGAACAATTTGAGTTGTGATCAACCTCAAGCTACAGAATATTATTTCTGCTCACTGACTAGATGATTATAATCAAGAATATGATGCCAAAGATGATGTAAGGGACTGAATAACCTAAAAAAGTATCCATTCTGGATAGTACTTTCATCCAGTTTCTGAAGTATGTAGAAAACCTTCACTATCCCTGAGCATTACAGTGAAGAAAATTATTCAGCATTTATGGAAAACAAAGTATGAAGGACAACAAGCATACCCATGTATTTTAAACATGAGTGCACATAAAACAAAACTATTGTGCTATTAGCTAACACAGAAACTACTCATTTCAATGCCCAAGAACATGAGAAAAACTAAACATACGTGATCAATTTAAGCATTTTTCTGCTGTACTCCAACCTATATCAGAACGGAACATCAAAGTAAATGTAACTGCTTTCAAAACAGAGCCTCATGGCACCAAAAACTCCTGATGATGGAAGGCACCATGTTTCCTTCAAAAGCTTTTAAAAAACAGAAGATTTTGAAGGCAGTTCTGTCACATGTCAATTCTTCTAATAAGTATATGCAAAATCAGTATGACAGGAATGGTTTGTTTTAATCACAGTAGCGCAGGACAGAGCCTAGAGGATATAAACATACATTGGAGGGATTTACCAGAAACCTCACTTACAAATGTACCAACCAGAGACAATGTATTTATTCGTTTTTAGTAAAGCATCCAATCCACACAAGCGTTTTAGGCTTTCATAGTAACGCTATTACTAATCCCATGTTTTATAAAGCTCATCTAGCAGACACATAAATGCATAAATTGAACACTTCCTTGGAAAATGTCAATATATGTTACAAGTTAGAAATCCTTACCATATGCTGTGTGATTTGTACAATTCACTGGTTCTTGTGTACTATTATCTATTTTAGGCTCCTCGCACATATATGTTCAGGTAATTGAGGAAAACATTTTTCACATGAAACACTACAACAGGTTTAACAGTCATTTATTCCACCCCCTTCAAACCCTGAGGATTTAGGATGCACCTTGATGTTAGTTTTCCTTCCTACCCATCCCCCAAAATAGGAACAGCACATTAGCATACAGCAAATCTGCTAATCCAATTTAATACACCAATATATCGCATAAGCTCCACGTTTAATTAGTGCTGCAGTCAGCACTACCTAAAGGAACCACAGTATTTATCAGTCACGGCCTCTGTATTTGAAGGCAACAAGATAGCACGCCTAATCTAGTCCTCTTATTTCAATATCAGAGTACCTCTAAATTGAGGCATTTGGTTGAGAAGATTAAATCTACAGTAATGTAGAAAATTTAAAAAAAACCCACCTAAAAATGAACATGGGGATTTGGACTAGAAAAAAAAAAACATGTGCAGGAGCTTATTTCCAGAGGTCTGAACTCCCCCGGCCAAGGAAAGCAGGAGATGAAGTTAACTTTTCCAAGATTTGCTTTCCTGACACTTTTGATCTGCAGCTACATCAATAACTGTCAGCCACCATCAACAAACGTGTTCTGGGGAAGGCCTGACGCGCCTTTGGAGAGTGAGGAGCCTGGCAGCTGAGTCTGCACCACCTGCGCCCTGCTCCTCCTGCCCGCTGCCGAGGAAGCCCCAACGCTTCGCAAAGCCACCGCGTCTCACTCCAGCGTCCTGCAAGAAAATCAGAAGGTGGAGGGGTGGGGGAGAGGGGGTTCTCATCCCATTTCCAAGATTTTCCCTTGGAAAACGTGAGGCAGCCCAGACCTGCACACAGGCACACGCTGTACCACCCCCACAATGAACCTGCCGACTGCTCCTTCCAGCCGAGACCCCCTCGGGGTCCTGACCTGAGGCTTCCTGTGACCCCCGAGGGGCTCCCGCTCGCTGTCAGGCACCTCACACC